AGAGTAATTCAGGCTTTGGATACCTTTCCAAGGTACAGATCGGACTATGCTGCAGAAATCCAAGGCATCGACATGCGAATAAGCCGAGTGGCCGCGCACCCAGTCAGCCCTGATCCCTTCCCATCCTTTCCCAGCCGTCTGACGGCTCTCCAGCCCCGAGGAGTGCCTGTTCCTTTAAGAGGCCGGTCCTACTGCTGCTAGGCTTGTCCTGTTGCTGTTTCCCTTTGGCGCCCCCCCCCCCCGGCCCCCCATACATTTCACTACACTTTTGGCTCCGCTTCCTCACTCGCTCCGGGAGAGTCAGAACCCCGCCGCCGCGAGCGCGCTGCTCTCCACCGCCGAGGCTCCTGGTCACAACCGTAAGTAGAGGAGTTCTGGAAGGAGGATGCGGGTGGACTTGAAAGAGTGGGAGAGGGAGGTGAGGTAGCCCCGCTTTCCTTCCACACCACCCTCTGCTGGAATGTAGTTCTGCATCCCACGGGAGGGAGCGCATGGCAGAAGCAGTGCCTGGAGCGCGTATGTGCTTGTGTGTCCGGGCTCGGTGCGGGAAGAGCGCCCCAAGCCATGGTGCAGAAACTTTTTTTCCCAGAGTAAGGCTGCAGGGAGAAGACGTCCCCTTTTTCCGAACATCTCCGAGACTCCAGATGTGTTAGACTGCAATTCCCTCATGCCCAGCCAGCGCGACGCGATGGGAGTCCTAGTCCAAGCCATCCGGCGGGCCCCGATTCGGGACCAGGGAAATCATGAGAAAGTGAGCAGAGGCGCGCTGGTGGTTGAAAAGGGTAAAAAGGACTCATCCTGACCCCTTTTGCAGAACTAACAGGCTGATGCAGGCCAGGGTGTGGAAGAGAAGCGGGAGGTTCATTCTGGCCAGTTTTCACCCTCTCGTCAGGAACTGGTTTGGGCTGCAATCCTAGCATACTTACTTGCCTGGGGCTTTATTGCATTGAACCCCACGGGACTTACTTCCGAGTTGCCATGCATAGGACGGCGCGAACTGACTGAGGCCACGAGTGGGAAATGCCGGAATTAATGCTGTAGAAAGGAAATAACAGTACGACTGCCTTCCCTTTAGCAGTGATGGAAAAGGCAATGAGGGGATCATTGAGGGATGCTTTTGCAGCACCCTAAAATGTGTCCTGGGTAATCAAGGAACAGCAATGACAAATAAATGCAAGTATTGTGGAGGGAATACCCTAACCCTAACCCTAAACTAATCCAGATTATAAATCAAAGTGAATTACATAGAAAGGGAGATGTTAAGCAAACCTTCCCTGACTGAGGCAAATGTTGGATTTCTTTCCCAAATTCTCTCCTGTACTCATGGATTGATGATGCCAAAAGCTGCAGGACAAACCTTTAGCTGGAACATACATATGGGGACTTTTTAAAAAGACTTTTTGGATGATGTTTTCCAGCTCTTATCATTCTAACAAACTCTACATATGAATGTGATAGTGATTATTTTTCAGATTACCTTTGCTTTTGCAGTCATTCTTTGAATGCAGGCATTTGTTTTGTAACTTTGACTCCAGCACTGGGCACTTATTTTGCCTTTCGACCAGAACCCCAAGCTCCATCGATGCCTCGGGAGGGTAGAAATGAAGAATGCTCCATCTCGTGCAAATGCCATTTATTTCCACTGCCAGGAAGGAACAGTACTCCACCGAAGCCTACACTTGCTTTCTTCATGCTGGTACCCACCCTATGTGCTGGATGCAACTTCCACCTTGTCTGGGGATAATTTATTTATTTATTTAAAATATTTATATGCCGTCCTATTTGCAAAAAAGCCTCAGGATGGCTAACAATGTAAAATATAACATAAATAAAATTCCAGACCCACACTGGCTGCAATTGCAGAATTGCAGTCCATCACAGTAGACAGGACCAGGTGGGAAAGTCTGGCTTACTCTAAATTAGTTAGAGTTTAAGAGACTACAAGATCTTATTTTTGCTGTGACAGACTAACATGCCTACCCTTATGGAAGATGGGAACTTGCCAAACTACTGCAAATCATATAGAGATTCACCATTAGATCTTGATCTTCCCACCTCTGCCTTATGCTGCAATACTTAACTCAGGAACAAGTCCTGGACTTGCAGAGCATCAAGTTGCTCAATAGGGATTCCTATCTAGCTGCTCTCAGTCTACAAGAACCACAGTAGAGTTACACTGAGTAAGATGCAGCCCCAATAATTTCACTGAGTGTGATTTAGGCATATGTGGTGCTTCCCCACTGCTATTGATAAAAGAGCTTCAAAAGGGCTTCATTTGGGCTGCACTTAATCCAATATATATAATACAAATTCTTTTGATGCTCCACAGAGCCATGAGGTGGGCTGCTTTAGGGTAAGAAAATGATGGGCCTGTTAAGCAGGGTTTTTCTCCTTGACTTAACTCTCCTTTCTTCTAAGTGACAGAAGAAGACATAGTGGAACAGAAACAGCATCTTTTCTTCCTATGGGAATTTCAATCCAAGGGAAATCTTTGCATATATTTGCAACATATGCTCTGTCAGTGTTATTATTCCATGATAAATACCAGTCCATTGATCCATGTGTTTTCCTCTTTTTCATCATGGTGGTTGTCTGTTGATTTTTTAAAAATAGTGTTAGTCCTTCCAGAGATTACAACAGCAATTTATAGTGGATAATCTAGTGACGAAAGAATGCTAGAAAAGGAAAGATGATGGGCAGTGGCACTACAGCTGGATTTTTTAAAACAGCCATTGTGTTCAAGTGGACCAAGTCTTCTTTGTACAGCCTCCTGCAACCTGGGGCCCTTCGGAGGAGGCTGTAGCCCGACACAAATGCAGGGTACCAGGGCACAAACAGAACAAGACATCAATGGTTCTTTTTAAACAGGAGGAGTGCCTGTAAAGGGAATTCATGGTTTGGTTAGGTAGGAGAGGGATTATAAGAATAACCACTGTTTTGTGAAGAAGAAGCTGTAAGGCTTGGTGAATCGAGAAAGTCCTGAGACCGTTTCCTGTATTGGAAGTTTTCCTGTTCCTAGAGCAGGGGGGGGGGGGGGGGGACGACGGTTCCTGGTAGGAATTGGGTAGCACAAAACAGCGGAAAGAAACTAGAACAGAGAAAGAGTGGATGGATGTTATGGGAGGACTGGAGAAAGTGAAAGGGCAAATGATTCCATTAGCAGGAGGACACAATATTGCTTTTCTGGGGCAGAATGATCCCTCCTGTTCCCACCAGTTAGGCTACGATGCCTTTTCCCCGAACACCAATTGTTTGGTGGTTTCTCAGCTCATGACATGTGGTTTTCCTCTTATTCTTAAATATTGAAATTCCTCTCCTAAGGCTTAATTATTGGCGGGAAGAGATTTAAGCCACGCTATGCTGGTGGCATTCTTTGTATTTTGGTCCTGCAGGTTTTGCCTCTAGCCCTGTACCTTACAGGAATGCCCCCCTCCCCCCAAAGTCCCTCTGAAATTGAGCTGAAAGAGTTCTGACTGTACTGCTGTAAGATGACAGTGGCCAGCCAGATCTCACTGGAACTTGCAAGCAGATCATGTATTTGTCTTGTTCTTTGATGATGAGAATCTGCAAATCAAAGGCACGCTGTTGCTAATTATGGCAGGTCCACTTTCCAGTCATTGTCTGAGAGTTTAGATGTAGGTTTCTGGGCAAGAGAGGACTTCTAATTTTTCAGCACACATCAACTGGGCACATCTCCCAAGAAGAATCTGTTTGTTGGCATCTCTAGTATCTGTCGCTTTAAAAAAATGCAGAGCAAATTTAGTTAGGGGGCAGAGGGCTGGACTAGGACTGGAGCCATCCTGGTTCAAAACTCCACTCACCTGTGAAGCTCTCAGGCAAGCCTTGTGCCAGTTAAATAACAACCTGCCTTGCAAAGATGTTGTGAAGATAAAACGGAAAAGGACCTGTACTTGAGCTTTCTGGGAGAAAGGTGGAATACAAATGTAATAATGAAAAAAAAAAGGTTGGGGTGATTTCTGCAAGGGAGAGAGTCCATTGAGAAGTTGCCTTTAGCAAGCTCGTTTTAAATGAATGCAGCAGTTCTCCTGCAGTCTTGGTTCATTTCTGTGGCTATTCCATGGGAGAAATTCCACCACTGGATTCCGCCGAAGGGATTGCAGAATAGAACCATTTCTGCCACTCTGAGCCAAGTGCTGTCATAGTTCCACTGTCAGAGACTTGAAGTTGTCAAAAACATTTCAATAGCTGAAGAATTATACCAGTGCGGTAACATCAAATGGATAAGTATATGTTGCTGGCAAGGAGAGCACTTGTACCCTCCAGCCAGAATACAGAACTCCTGTTGACACAACATTTGTTGAGAGTGGGAATTGTTCCATGCTGCACTTGCTTAGTTTGGAGTTGGGGTATTAAACTTTCCACCCCCTCTTCTTTAACACCACCACCAAAGTATGCTACTTTTGCATCCACAGGTTCCACTTAGCCACCACATAAGAACATGGGAGTAGAGCCCTGGGCAGTTCCTATGCGCATCTATATGCATTGGTGATCAGTATGATCAATATCTTATACTTTATTGGTATTGATTAGAGCATTACTGATAATGTGATGCTCCTATGGGTCAGCAAACATGGCCTCAGGCAACTCCGGCTCTGTGTGATCAGCAATGCGAGTCTTTCCCTAATTTGGACCATTCTGCAATGATAGACTGGGGTGGGACGGGGCAGTCCTGCTCCTTTTCTAAACCCGTTGGTGCCCCATTTAGAGAGGTGGTAGGAGCACCCTATTCATCTGCAGCAGAGGGTACCCCCTTCCCTCTCTGCAAAGCTCGCAGCTCTGAACGTGCCATAAAAGAACTACAGAACTGTAAAGGACTCCAAAGATCTTGTACCAAAGGAGCAGGGAAGACAAGTAATCAGATCAGTAATCAGAGAGAACGCAGGGGTGAGGACCTTGGAAAATTCCCAATCCCTCTCCTGCAGGATCCATAATACCTGGCCATAAGCCCCCCCCCCCCCCCCGCTTTGCACACAAGGGCAGTGATGGTTTCAAAAGGAGGCTGTAAACTTTGACAGAGCAGAAGGCCAAGAAGTCAAATTCCTGAGTGGAATAGCTTTCAGGAAACTTGATGGATAAAGACTGCCCTCTCTTGGCTGTTGGAGAGTTTGCTACCATGTCTGCATCTCAGCTGAAAATGCAGTGCAATTCTGCATGTGGACTCTGGAGCAAGTCTCACTGAGTTCATTAGGGCTTATTTCTTAGCAAACGTGGCTAAGATTGCAATATTAATGGTATTGCATTAAAATAAATCATAAATCCTTGTGCTGGAAAACCAGGTAAGAGAAAGGAGGAGTAAATTCATGTTACTTTATGAATTCACATAAGCACTACAGCTTTCCCCATTCCTTTGATTTCAGTGATGGATGATGTATGCCCTTGACTTTTTTTATTTGAACTTGATAGTTCTTGATGGTGACTCGATTTGGCTGTGCTGTAATCTATCTTTTTATTGTTGTTTCTTTTATATTAACACTTAACTTTTCTTTCTCTGTTAAAGAATTTTATCATTGGCCATTGCCAATAAAAGAGGAAATGCCAAAAAAAAAGTGAGCAAAAGAAGACAAAGATTCCCATAAAGTTATCATAGGCTATAGATACGATTTTTTTTTTTTTTTGGGAGGAGGGAGGATCTCCTTTAAATATGGAGTAAGATGTCAATGCATTAAATTCAGATGGATATCAGAGAAAGGCCACCATCTGGGACTGTGGGCATATCCACAATCCGAAAAATGGCTGGCTTGGGAGCCTTGGGAGCCAAATAATCTGTCCCAAACATAGAACATAAAAACAGAGTGAGTCAGAAGGGATCTCCTGGGCCATCTAGTCTGACCCCCGGCTCCAGCTGGCTGAGTATAATGCAGAAGTGGTATCTGGTCCTCCACACACACAACAACTCCTATTATCCCTATTTTTACTACCATTGTGGTTATTTCAGATGTCAGTAAGAAAATGTATTAATTGGAGGGGAGAAATAGTGGGGGACCTCGGGCACCTCGGTGGGTACCAGGAAGGTTGTCCATGGTGTCCACTGGCACCATGTTGCTTACTCCTGGAGCAGACTAACTGAAATCTGTCAGATGTGAGTTAGTGAAGACTGACAGCTCATATTGAGAGTAATGGATATGCTTTAAGTATGGCTATGTTTTCATGTTTTATAAACCTGGAGAGAATTCTGTACGTGTTAGCCATGAATTATGCCATTGGCTGATTTCTCCGCCTTGCCTTCCTCTCAGAGACACATTCCTGCTTCAGAATCCCCTGCAAGAGATGCTCTTCCACCTGGTTGTGATGCTGCTCCAGATGGGCAGTGGCTGTGGGGGCCTCCCTTTCTACAATGGCTTCTACTACGACCGGGTCATGAATGACAAAGGAGATGGCAACAGAGGAGGTGGGAAGCAGGCAGGCGAATGGTCCTAGTACATGGGGTGGGTGAGATGAACACTGGAATGGAGGTGGGAATGGATCTGCCAGCCAGCTGATGTCCCCATAGACAGGTGGAAAAAGCAGGCAGCTTTCTCTGACTCGATGGGCTCCAGACATTCTGAGTGACAGCTGCTAGCTTTCCTGATCATCGGCCCTGCAGACTGGCATTGATAGGAATTGATCTGGAGGGTGTCAGAGACCGTTTCCAATATTAGTTCTGCTTAGAGTAGAGCAATTAGAATGAATGGGATTGAAGTCCATAATGACTAACTTAAATCTCATTCATTTCACTTGGTCTGCTTTATGTAGGAGTGACATTGCATACTAGCCCATGTCAAGGAAGGCTGCTTGAGAGCCAGAATACCAGGGCTTGAGCTAACAAAGGATAATCTGGCATTTCCAGGTCTCTCATTATTTAAGTCCAGCCTGTTTTATAGAAAATACAGCTTGGAGGGACAGCTGTCATCTTGGAAATTAGCTTTCTGCAGTCTGGTCACCTTCAGCTGTGTTAGCCCAACCAGAACCTCTTCTCCAATTATAAAATATCATTTTCCTTATATTGGTAATTTGCTGTGTTCCAATGTTTTAAAGCTTTCGAATTATTAACATTTACCCCACATATTTTTCAGCACAGCATGGGCATTCCTTTCCTCTCTATCTCTGTTGCTTTCTAACTATGAAACTATATAAAACTAAATTTTAGGTAGTTTCATACTTAGAAAGTAAATTTTCAATGGCAAGTCACCTTGGAGTCAACTTGGGCTGCAAAAGGAGAGCTGGAAATAATTTTATAACTGAATACATAAATAATAAAATGACATTTTGTTCTAAGAGCAAGATTATTTTCAGCTGGCATGGTAGAGAGTGTGAATTCATGGAATTGGTGAAACTGAGTCAGAAGGTGTTTGTGTATTACCAGTGCAGGCCATCTGAAAAGAATTGTGCATGCATTTTTCCTAATGCTGTGCTAGAAAATGACTTCCAAATTATTTATGACCACCCTAAACTACTTTGATAGAAACAGAATTGTTCAAAAGAATGTTCAATGCAGAAGAGCATTTCCAACCCTCCTCCTCATAAGTGGGACTTGAGGATCCTTTGCTTTTGAGGTGGTCAAGCCGTGTGAGTGTGCTGTAGATTCCACTGGAGATCAATCTCTCTGGCAGCCTGCAGCCACCCTCCTTTCCCACACTTCAATTAAAGCCCAGGGCAAGCATCTCAAGTTCCTCCTCCATGGAGCATGTTCAGATCAGGAAGCAGGGGCAGGCAGCCTTGTGGCTGCAGAGTGGTGGAGTGATGCATCAGAAGAAGAAAGAATTAATACATAGAGCACCTGCAGATATATCTTATCAATAAGGTAAGTTCAAAAGCAATGTAACAAGCATCATCATTGCCACCACCGCCTCCTTGGGGAAAAAGAGAGACGTTCTTTTACAACCACAGCTAACAGAGGGAGCCTGCATCTGAGAAGCTGTAGGAAACTTCCTGCTCCTTCTCAAGGAATTGGATGAAGTGGCCCCCCCAAGTTCCATAGTCAATAAATAGGGTGGCCATTTGTACAGAGGTATGATTGTTTCTACCTACTTGGCAATGCCAGAGAATGCTTCTTATTGGGTGGATTTTAACAAATAATTAATACATCCCCCCTCCGCTCTGTATTAGTTCAGTTCAATGGAGTAAAATTGATGGTAGAGACATCCTCTGACACCATTTTCGCCCACCGTGGGGCCAACGTCACCCTGCCCTGCCACTACCACTTCGCACCCCAGCTGAACAGCCCGCACCAGATCCGTGTCAAGTGGTCCAAGCTGCAGCAGGACAACACGAAAGATCGCGATGTACTGGCTGCTGCTGGGCCAACGCAACGCAGCTTCGGCGAGTTTCGGGGGCGTGCACAGCTGCAGCAGGCTTCTCCGCATGAAGTGTCTCTGGTGATTGATGACCTGCGCTTGCAAGATGCCGGCAAGTACCGCTGTGAGGTCATTGATGGGCTGGAGGATGAGAGTGGGACTGTGGATCTGGAGCTGCAAGGTAAGGTGGGGGGTACTGATGGAGGGGCGGAGGGGGGAGAATTGTGTGCCATGCAATGTTGTCTGTTTTTCTTCTTTCCTACCAATAAACCCAACCGCAGCCCAGAAGTCAGCAACCTTCTTCAACCTGGAGCCCTCTATATGCCATGCCATTCTAGTGAGAATGATGGATATTGCAGTTCAAGACACGTGGAATGCCAGTTGAAGAAAGTTGCAGTTCAGCATTCACTCCAAGTTCTGTTCTGACAGGGTGGGGTCCTTGACAATTTCTGGGTTATGCAAACCATTGGGATTGTGTCTTTTGTTATTTCCCCCCTCATTCATTCATTCATTCTTACATCCGCATCATGCAATTGTTTCTTCTTGCAAGAAACCCAAGGCAGCTCTCTAATAATTCCCAACTGCAATGGGAGCAAGAAAAATGCATGCAAAAAAAAAATATTGTGGGTTTATATAATGTATTAACTTTATTTTTATTCCCTTAAGTTCAAAGCAGTTCACAGTATATAATACAGGAAAAAATCCATATAAAACCAATGTAAAGACAATGTTAATTTCAATGTTATTTAATTAATTAAAACAAATTACTGCCATGCCAATAATAAGACAGCGCCTGTTGCAGATTAGGGAAGGCATGGACAAATGTGAGCCTTCAAAAGGCATTGAAAGCTCCCCACAGTAGCCACTTCTGGAATATCGCATGTGGGATGTTCCAGGTTCTGGGTGCCACTCCAAGTGGTTCTGCTTATGTCCTGTTACTCAGGAACATTCTTATTAGAAATGTAAAGATTCACAGCAGCAACACAGAGTGTATGCCTCATTTTAACCACCAGATGTCACAAATACCCTGTGTCATTTGCTGATAATTACCATAAGGTATGCTTTTTAACAGAAACCAAACAGGGAGAGCTATGTGTTGGGAGCAGGAGGGATGGTGGGCTTGGGCAAGCATTCCCATAGACTGCTGGCCACTTTTCTCATACTGATTCAGAATCAGAAGATGAAGAATGTTTCAGTGAAATTGGCAGCATGGGCTGACTGAAGGTCCAGAGATGCACCAGCAGCAGCAGCAGGTCTCAAGCCACCTGCTTCTCCACGCTGGGCAGTTCCTAGGAATTCCCAAGCTGTTCAGCAATAGGGAGGAACTGGTAGGGATGAGGCATTCGAGACGCAGACCAGCCCCCTCCCACGAGCTGGCAAGGTGTCAGCAGAGGCAAGAGGCCCACTAAGTTGAGCCGCAAGCAGAGAGGAGGTGTGCTCGTCTTCAGCTCATCCTGCCCAAAATTGGAGGCAGGATCTGCATATCTGTAGCAGAGTTTTTACAACTTGCATAACCTTGTACAAATCAGAGCTGACTCATTAGCGTTGAGTTCTTGCTGTCCTTGCTGCAGTGCTTCACATGAGAAGTGAGGAAGCATCTTCCTTTCACTGTACATTATTATTATTATTATTATTATTATTATTATTATTATAACATTTCTATGCCGCCCCTTGCCGAAACCTTGCATATGCTCCACATCGGCAGCTTGAATTTTCTGACAGACAATTTCAGATTTGTGCAATATTTGAACATCTGCTTTGGAAATTGTGCAAAGTTTCTGAGGAGGGGCATGAACTTTGCACGTATTTTCCTAGCTTAAAAAAACAGAAATATGCAAATTGCAGTTCATAGACCCCATACTCTTAACTCACCACTGATTGGTTTGGCACCAGCACAGAGCTGACAAGGTGGAATCTTCAGGGCCAAGTTAGGAAAGTCCATTGTATTTTCACCCCAGTGTGGGATCCCATACACATCTTAAGCAGCATGTGCATGTGGTAAAACATGATAAGACTGGCAAAATGATACGAGGAATGTACAATCCTTTCTCTAACACTCCTAACGCTTGTAAAGATCACTTTGGTAATCAGGTAAAGAGCCAGTATGTAGTGGCTAGAATATTAGATTGGGATGTAGGAAATTCAGGTTCTAGTTCATACCAAACCAAGAAGCACAGTGGGTGACTTGGGACCGCTCCGTGCAGCGTTTCAGGGCAGCGTGCCTCACAGGACTCTTGTGAGGGTAAAATGAAGAAGAGGAGGCCCATATCAGATGCCTTTGGTTCTTTGCAAGAGAAACAATGGGGGGATAAATGCAACTGTTAATGATGATGATTCTGGGGTGTACATTTCATTAAGAATTCAGCATTTCGTTCATCCTTCCCCAACTTTGTGCCTCCAGATGTATTAGATGCATCTCCCAGCATCCCCTAACCAGTCATACTGGTTGAGGGTACATGGAGTTGTTGGCCAAGCACCACAGGTTGAGAAGCCCTGTTTTAATTCATTGGATTGTTTAAATTAATGTAAATAGATAAAAGCATTGTGCATGTTTTAAAATTTGAACATATGGATTCTTATAAAAACTGCAGATGGCAAGGACCCTCTGAGTGAATGAGATTGTAGGATGTCTCTTGTTCAGTGATGCTGTGGTGACACATGTACCTCAGCCAAAGCAAGCAAGCAAGCAAGCAAGCAAGCAAGCAAGCAAGCAAGCAAGCAAGCTTACTTTCCCCCTTCAAAACGATGCTTTCCCTCATTGTGCCATGCCCAAGTCTCCAGCTACAGCTAGCAAAGACTCCTGCCTGGGGAGCCACAGCCTGGGAATAGGTGGTAGTCTATGGAAAACAGGGCAAATTTGGTGCTAGGAGGGTCTCAATAGGAGGTCATAGACCACAAATGGGGCCACCATGGAGAAGGCCTTCTCCTTTCCACCACCCTCTGAGCCTCCCTTGAGGAAGACCTTGGTGGGAGTGTCCTGGCGGATCAGGGAGTATGCCAGGGACTGTGCTCCCAAGCCATAAGAAGAGCCCACACAACTGTCTTGTACTTGTGAGAAGTGACTGGCCCACGTAGCTTAGTGAGGCCCTGCAGATTTTCAGGTAGGAGTTGGTTCCCAGGCTTTATCTGGAGATATTGGGGTCGAACCTTTCTGTACGCAAAGCTTGTGGTCTAGCACTCGGCAGGGTCCCCTCACACTGGTGCTACGAGGCAACAGTTCCCCACACTTTCCTCTGGTTTGGATGTGGGAGGGCTTCACATGTCAAGGGCTGTTTACTGGTCGGGGTGCTGGACAGAGATGCAAGGGAGCCAGGTTCACTCACCCACAAAACTCACTAGTTGACTTCAGACAAATCACTTACTCTAAGCCAAGTCGGCCTCACGGGGTTGTTGTGAAGATAGAAGGGAGAGGAGAAGGAGAACCATATAAACTACCTTGGGCTTCTCGGAGGAAAGCTCACTATGAAATAACAAAGCAACAAACACTGAGTTTGTTTATTTAACCATCTTCCTTTTGTTCTTGCTCACCAACTTTCTGCCCTTCAGGGGTGGTTTTTCCTTACCAGCCTCACCAGGGGCGCTACATGCTCAATTTCCATGAAGCCAAGAAGACCTGTGAGGAGCAGGATGCTGTGATAGCCTCCTTTGACCAGCTCTTTGCATCCTGGATGGAGGGCCTTGACTGGTGTAATGCAGGCTGGCTGGTGGATGGCACAGTCCAGTACCCCATCACTTTGCCACGAGAACCCTGCGGTGGGAAGAACATGGCCCCCGGCATCAGAAGCTATGGAGAGCGTCACAAGAAACTCAATCGCTTTGATGTCTTCTGTTTCTCATCGGCTCTAAAAGGTGAGGTATGCTATGCCCTGCTCAGCAACTAATTTTGCAGGCTGGCTACTGCCGGGAAAGGACGGCAGGTGTGAGGCCAGGCCATGGCTCCTTTGTGCTGGCTCCAGTTGCCACTCTGGTGACATCTTGGATGGACTCGTGTAATCTGGGGCTGCCATGGAAGACTGGTGCCTGCAAAATATGCAATATTTACTTATTTACAAGGTCTATATGCTGCTCCATATTCTGGTATGGAGATTCCAGAGCAATTAACATTAAAAGGTGAAACAAAAGAACGCAACGAAAGAAAACTAATAAAACCAACCAACTAACCTGGTTAGTTCAGGAAGGCTTCCTGAAATAAGAGTTTTAAGGAAGTTCTGAAAGCAATACTGGTCTGACCTCCAGAGGCATGCATGGAGTGCCAGAGACGTGGGACCGCTACACGGAAGGCTTTCTTCTGGGCAGACTCCAGTCAGGCAAGAGGTCCATGCAGAACTTCCATCTGCTCACCTCAGTGCTTGAGAAGTTTGGTAAGCAAGATGTCCTGATCCCAGGTCACTGAGGGGTTCTCATGCAGATGCTGAGGCATTAGTCTCAAAGTCTTAAATGTGTAAATGTGAATCTACTGCCCTGTCCAGCAGGACGAGCTGATAGAAACACAGAAAGTGGCCTTACACTGAATTAGATCAGTGATTCATCCACCTCGGTGTGATCTATTCTTATGGTTGATGCTCATATGAGAGTCTTTTCCAGCCCTGTCTAGAGATGCCAAGGATGAGTTTAGTTGAGACCCACTGCAGCCTGGCTGCTCTTCTTTCAGAGAGGTCTTATACCATGCATGGGACCTCTGAATTCATTAATTTTTCTCTGAATTAGACCTTCTTAAAGAAATGTGATTCTGGCTCTCCTGGACATGAATTCAGTGCAGTTGTAGCACTGCAACTGTTAATTTGCTTAGCAATGTGAGGATCACTGTGCTTATGTCAATTTTGCATGCATTTATAAACCTCTCCCTCTCCCTCTCCCACGCACACGAGAAGCCCAACTCTTCATGCCACTGATGAAGTGGACTCTAGTAAATAAACTGATTATTCTTTAATATTTCATACACCTCTTGGATTGGGAAGGTAAGATTGAAGTCCACTGGGATATGATTTTATCCTAATGGCAGCTCAGCCTCCTTTTCTTATGAACAGAAGAAAAAGATTTAGGTGGCTAAAATCATAGAATAGTAGAGTTGGAAGGGGCCATGAAGGCCATCTGGTCCAACCCTCTGCTGTGGCAGGACACCACGTTATGCCATCCCACTCAGGTGCCTGTCCAGGTTCTTTCTGAATGTCTCCAGTGTGGGAGAGCCCAGCATCTCTCTAGGCAGCTGGTTCCACTGTCCTATTGCTCTGACAGTGAGGAACCTTTCCTCATGTCTAGCCTGAATCTGGGTTGTCATAGCTTAACTGGATTATTCCGTGTCCTGCACTTCGGTACCAGCAAGAAGAGATCTTGACCTTCCTCTTTGTGACAGCCTTTGAGGTACTTATGGAGTGATATCATGTCCCCATTCAGACTTCTCAAGGCTGAACATGCTCAGTTCTCTCAGTCACTCCTCATAGGGAAGTGTTTCCAAACCCTGGATCATTTTTGTTGCTTTCTGCTGGACTCTTTCTAATTCAGCTGCATCTTTTTTAAATGTTGGAGTCCAGAACACGGTCTGACTACTGAGGGGTATAGAGGAACTACTACTGTTCATGATTTGGAAGTAATGCTTCTGTTAATGTGTCCCAAAATAGCATTTGCCCTTTTGGCGGCTGCATCACGTATTTAACCTATTACCAAAAATTACTCTGAGATCTTTTTCTTTTTTAGTTCTGTTGAGCCACGTATTCCCCATCTTGTATTGACGCATTTTGCTTCTGTTTCCTAGCTGGAGGACTAGGCACTTGTCCTTATTGAATTTCATTCTGTTGCTTTCAGCTCAGTGTTCAAGTTTCTCAAGATCACCCTGGATCGTCATTCTGTCCTTTAGGGTATTTGCTATTCCACCCAGTTTTGTATCATCAGAATGTCATGTGGCATTATGTCAAAAGTTTTGCTAAAGTATAGGTAGATTATTTCCACAGTGTTCCCGCTGTGTGTTTGGGAGGTTACCCAGTCAAAAAATGAGATTAAATTAGTCTGAAAGGATATGATTTTGATAATTCCATGTTGGGTTCAATTAATCACTGCATTTTCTTCAAGATGCTTGCAGATGGATTTTTAAAATAACTTGCTCCAGAATTTTTCCAGGAATTGATGTCAGACTGTAGTTCCCAGGTTCATCCCCCCTCCTTGCTTTTTAAAGACAGGGACAATGTTAGCCCTTCTCCAGTCTTCTGGCATTTCTCTTGTTTTCCAATATTTATTGAAGATATTAGCCAATGGTTTTGAGAGTTCCTCCCCTAGCTCTTTTATGACTCTGGGATGGAGTTAGAAACATAGAAACATAGAAACAGAGCGAGTCAGAACAGGCCTCCTGGGCCATCCAGTCTGACCCTCGGCTCCAGCCGGCTCCACTCACGACATGCCCACCATGTGGACGTCCAGCCTATCCTTGAACACCCGCACTGATGGGGCCTCAACGACCTCTCGTGGAAGCCCATTCCACACCCTCGGGGTCCTGACTGTCAGGAAGTGCTTCCTGGCATCCAAATGGAACCTTGGCTCCCTGAGCTTTGCTCTGTTGGAGCGCGTTCTGCCTTCCTCTGCAGGGGAAAACAGGTCTCTAGCCATCTCCATGTGAGTTCACTGGGCCCTGGAGATTTGAAAGTGTTTATTCCACCTAGGTATTCCTTGACCATTTGTCTGTCAAGCTTGGGCTGCCATCTCTCACTTTCACCTTGCACTTCCTCTTGGTTGTAGATTTTTCTTGTGGGAGAAAAGTGAGGTGAAGTAGGAACTGAACACCCTCACCTTTTCCTTGTTTTTTTCCCCCTGATTTATATCCTGCCTTTTTCCTACAAAGGGCTCAAGGCAGCTTACATCATCTCTCCTCCTCCATCTTATCCCCATAACAACAACCCTGTGAGGTAGGTTGGGCTGAGAGTCTGTGACTGGCCCAAAGTTACCCAGTTGGCTCCATGGCTGAGCGGGGACTAGAACCCAGATCCTCTGAGTCCCAGTCCCATGCTCTTAACCACTGCATCACACTTGCTCTTGTTGTTGGTTATCACTCTGTCATCCACTTTAAGTAGCTGGACACCTTTCTCTTTCACATGTCTTTTGTTTTGGATATATCTGAAGAAGGCTTTCTTGTTCTTGGCATCCCTTGCTAGTCTCAGTTTGTTTCCTGTTCTAGCCTTCCTGATGCTATTCCTGCACTTTCTTGCTATTTGTTTATAGTCTTCCTTTTCCTTCCTTGACTGGCCTTTTGTCTCTTTTTCAGAGTTACACAGTATGTCATGTCGTTCTTTCACAATGGGTTTCTCACATGTCCCTCCCTCAAGTAACTTAAAGTGGTTTGAGAATTCCAGTGCTTCCATTGGTGCAGAGTGTTTTCTACGTATTCTGCATTTAACTGTCACCCTGTTCCAGGGTGTTTCTTCATTTCCTCCCTTCTCAGGGTTCTCTTCTGCTGCCTCAGCTCGCTGGTGCTCTTCTTGCTTCTGAACTACGCTTAGCTGCTGCAGTCTCTCTGCACTGTCGAATCATGCTTCATTTTCATTTATTGCCTGGAGGGTGGGCACTTGCTGCTCCCCTGCTCTCACTTTCTCTTGTAACAGGGTGACTAGTGTGCAGCTGCTGCAGGCCCCCACTGTGAAGTCCCCTTGGTCCATTGCTTGTGCAACCTTAGTGATTCTGCCTTTGGGGCAGCTGTTGTGACAACTGGTGCTTTCAAATGAATTCACTAAAAGTTAGCAACAAGCAACATGGTACTACTAGTGAGTGGGAGTGTGTTACAAGGAGGAAGACAAGTGTGTGTGCATGCATGCAGGGGGGTGGATTCATGTGAAATAAAGAAGAGAAAAGAGAAGAAGGGGGGAAATGTTAGGGCCTCCCCTTTGACCTCCTCCACCAAACTCCTCTTTGCTCTCCCTGGGAGCTTGGCTGCTTGTATCCCAGAGGCCCTAGACCTGCTGGGGCAGCTTGCTCTGATCTGCCCTGCTCTGCTCTGCTAAGAGTGAGGAACCAGTCTTGACAGGGAAGGAGAGAACGTGGTAAGGCAGCTGTGGCTTTCATGCTTCTTATACCATGGATGGCCTGCCTATAATCCTCCAAGTCGGGGGGTTGCAGGCAGCTACACACAGTGCCGAATTCGTTTTTTTTTTTTTTTTAATGCTTGGCTTTTAATTTTTGATGATGCATGAATTGTTTAGGATGGATCTGGCTGTATACAATGTAATTGATTTATAGTAATTTTTATTAGTTTTTAATTTGAACACCACATGGGGATGTATGTGCATGTGTGTGAATGTATCTGCCCATGTGCATGCCCACACGCATGTGCACACGCACACATTCTCGGATGTTTATTGTGTAAACCACGTTTACATTCGTTTTATAAAGGAAGTGAGATGGACATGCTTGAACCAATCCATCCACCCATATACATATTCTGTGATATGATTTATATCTTGCCCTTCTTCACAAGGGGATGTGGTGGTACAGTGGGTTAAACCACTGAGCTGCTGGGCTGCCAATTGAAAGGCTGGCAGTTCAAAGCTGCACAACAGGGTGATCACCCATGGCCTTGTCCCTAGCGCTTGCCAGCCTCGCAATTTGAAAGCGCATAATAGATAAATGGGTACCACTTTGGTGGGGAGGAAACAGCACCCCATGATGTCGTGCTGGCCACATGACAGCTCTGGCTCATGGCCTTAGAAACAGATGAACACCACCCCTTACAGCCATTCAGCTAGCAGAGTAAAATCCACAGGTATTCCTCTCCTCTCCTCTCCTCTCCTCTCCTCTCCTCTCCTCTCCTTCTTCATTCACAAAGATCTCAAGACAACTAAGAATCTGTTTAAAACACAGGATAGGCCATGTGAAAATCATACCTCTAAAACTGTGCAAGAATTCTTGATGTTCCTTCATCATGCTAACAGATTCTCTTCTTCTGTCAATAGGAATTGTTTACTATCTGACTCATCAAGAGAAATTCACTTTAGAAGAGGCCAAACAAGCTTGCCAGGATGACCAAGCTGAGATTGCCAAGGTGGGCCAGCTCTATTCGGCATGGAAGTTCCTACGTTTGGACCGTTGTGATGCCGGCTGGTTGGCTGATGGGAGTGTGCGCTACCCCATTGTATCTCCACGGCCCAACTGTGGCCCCCCAGAACCAGGCATCAGGAATTTTGGCTTTCCTAAAGCAGGGAAATTTGGGGTCTACTGTTACAAGATGAGCTAAAGGAAGAGCTGGAGCAGGCTGGGAAGGCGCTGTGCCCCAGTGAACACATCCTTCTCTTGCCACCTAGAGTTTATTATTTAAAGGCCAGTACCTGGAGGCAAACTGAATGGTGTGTTTTATTTTTACGTCTTTTTTGTTTTTACATTTTGTAATGAAAGGGAAATTCTGTATAGTCAAATGCACTTGCATTTGAGTTGCCTTGGTGCTGATTCCAAGATCTTCAAGCTTCATTGCCCACCTGATCCAGTACTAGGAAATATCTGAGAGGAGCGTGTGTGCAGTCCAGGCAGAGCTGGTCTGACGATCTGGTCCCTGTGCCTTCTGGAGTAGATTTACATGGATGTCTGTCAGTGAGATTGGGCAGCCAGCCGACCCAGAGCAAGGTTGATGCTATAGATGCTGGAGCTCACCAAAGGACTTACCAGAGCAGTGTGTTCTTCCCAGCCATTGGTACCCTAAAATGCCGTCATCCTAACAGGGCATCTCTGCACTCTCTGGTGGACCCCACATTTATTAATTAAAGAGCAAACTGGATATTTTCAAGGCTCAGGGTCTTACTGTGGTAGAAGCTACAGTAATAGATATTACTTTGCTTTTTTAAAATTATCGCTGACAAGGCTTACTTGTCTCCCAGTTGATTGATGAGAAGCTCAGAGCCAACAGGGATGTTGCAGAAGCTACTGGATAGCAATTCTGTTGCCCTTAAAAGTGCACATAACTTTCTCCAGTTCTGCAGACCATCAAGATGAATTGGACGAAAGCCAATTCTTCCTCTTGCCTTCGTGCATGTGACATTTTTCTGCAACATGATGCCTTCCAGATATTTAGGAGTACACCCTCCATAATTCTGGACAATCGGCTGTGCTCCTTGGGCCTGATGTGAACTGCAGTGCAAAATATCTGGAAGGTACCCCCTTGGGAACTGTTGACCTACAGCATAGTGTCATCAACTTCCCTTCCATCCGTTTTTTTTTTTTTTTAATAATGTGAAGAATAAATATAAGAAAAATAGCATATGTACCTTTTTCAAAAATTAGTTTATAAGAGTAAGATGAGCTGAAGGAGGAGGACAAGAGGAAAGGTTCCCTCACTTGCCAGTCAGACAATCAGCTTATTGGCAGGGGTAGGTCATTCCGTCTTCCATCCATGTCACATGTAGCGTGTTCTTACCCATAATTCCATTCTGTTCTATTTCCTTGTTAACGTTGACTTTAGACAGTCTTCTCAAGATAGTTTAGTTTGCATTTTCTTTGAAAACATGCACTGCAAGCAGGGGTGGTATGCTTCATTCCCCATCTGCATTTGGGGCCCCTATTGCCCCAATACCCCACTGAATTTCTTACTTTTAAAGAAAAGTCTCATTCCTGAAAGCCTTCACATTTGGTGGCAAATTCAGCAACACAGTGGGATTTCTGGTAAAGGCATGATTTGTGCTGGATTCAAAAGGGCTGAACCAAGAAAAGATGCCCAGCCCTGATATAAATGCATAGTTTGATATATTTGGACAGGAAGGAACTATATCTTGACATTCCAAGAAGTATCACATTTGGTGGGTGGTGAAGTTTGGACCTGCATGTGCATTGGGGAGATTCTAATCTATTGTGTTTAAGGGGTGCTTGAGGAATTTATTTTTGTAAATTTCAGTATGAATTTATCTGATCTATGTGAATGTGTATATTGGATCCTTGTTACCAGCTTTTATTCTTCCCAGGCACAGCTAATAATATCAAAGTACACTGAAAAATCCACATTTTGGAAGAAATAGTTATAGAAGTATGAATTTTGAGAAAAATACATTTAAAACTTAAAAAAAATAAAAATGGATATGTAAGTGTAAATTTAGATGTTGATTTTTATGTGAATTAAACAACCAGTCAGTTGCAGATTAATGTAACAGCTATCCAGAATGGAGGAATGAGTGAACATGGATGAAACCAAATAAAACTGGAAATGGACTGAGTCATCTACCCTGAGTAAGTTTGTATAATTGGCAGTTCTCAAATTCCCCAAACATCCCTAATTGTTGGTGTATCCGGTAATACAGCAGTTGTAAATAGTTCTGAGTTTTCTCTGCTGTGACACTAAAAATGCCCCGTCTGTCTTCATGCTCAGTTTGAACACTTCTCAACAGCTAAAATCAATATTTGCCTAGTTTAGCTAAATTTAAGAGATGTCATTAATTTTTTTTCCCCCTAGGAAAGAGGTAGAAACCAGAGTGGTGACAGCAGCCATAGAAATGGTTGTGTGGGGGGCTTTTAGAGTCTCCATGCCATCGTGTCTTCACATTTCGATGCCTCCTGCATACGTGATGCAATGCATGGTCACTTGGGAGTGATGTCCATTAAATGATACCGGGTCTTAGTTCTGATTAAACGTATACAGAATAGCAGAGTCCGAACTCTACTATTCCCAGCTGTCTGCAACTTGTGATACAAACCATCAAGAGAATCACAGGGTCCTTCCTCAGTAGGTTAGGAACTACATGCCTGAATTCTGCGTCTTCCTTTGTGTTTTATTTTTAAAATACTGAAAAAGCGCTGCCTATAGGCAGCTAGTGTGCCAGGGTGATAAGTCTGAATCCAGACATTTCCCTGACTCGCTTTTCCTGAGTATGTGGGGAATTTTAAAGAGAGAGTAGTCAAAGATGCCACGACTCCTCTGCAACCGCAGAAGTCAACTACAACTCTCCTGTGCGTGACTTTGGCCAAGCAGCAAGGATGACAATGAGGGAGGGCATGTGATGGGCACGGGTACTGGAGTGCAGGAGCCACTCTCCCTTTTTGTCCCAGTGGTCTTCAAAGGTGGGTCACTTTTTGTACAGCCAGCAGCCCTTTTGGAGCACTCATCAACTTAAATGAAGAAGGCTTAGGTAGCAGGTGATGGAAGAAACCAATGCTGGAGAACCTGAGCTGCTTTTACCCAAAGCTCCTCTTGTTGGTCTTGCCCAGTATCAAGAACTGAGAGCTCCACCTTACATGGTCAAATTAATAGCAACCACTTCAACTCTTCACAGGCAAAAATGGGGACCTGCTTGGAACTGCCTCAACCAACTACCCATTCACTGTCACACAGCACTTTTTGCCAGCTTCTTTCAAGGTCTGGCCTTCTCATCCCCTAATGTAAAAGGTGGCAGCAGCAACATATACCACAAAAAAGTGATTTTCCTAAAGTGCACCATGGACAGCTTGAAATATATCTAGCCTCATGCACTGGGTAAAATGATAAAATGTGCATTTATCTGAATTTTACCATGGTGTTTTCTAATAAAAAACACTTATGGAATGCATATATATTAGGGGAAAATGTAGACAGAAAGGCATCTATATATTAGGAAAATGGATAGCAAAAATATGTGTAATTAGGCAAAATTGTGTGCTGAAATGCAAATATTTGGAGAAACGTGCATAAAATGCATACAAGTGTTCATGTGAAATGTAAGCATAGGTTCTCAGAATTCTGAATGAACTGAAGTTAAGATTGGTATATGAGAAACTGAGAGAAATAATAATTATGGATTTATTATTCTTACTGCACCTCCTGAGATTTTACTTCTGAAGAGATTTAGGCAGGATGTCCAAGTTACACTGAACACCATTTTGAAAGTCTATCCAACAGGCTAACAGGGAGATTGGATTTTACCAAGGGCAAGTGTCAGAAATAGTGGAAGTTACTAGGGAATGGGAACTCTGGGCCAAAGCAGAAGCCATGTGGGAATGTATTTGATGAGGTGTTGGAGAACATGTAGCCTTCCAAATGTTGGGTTCCAACGCCAGCAGCCCTGGCTAGCAAGGGAAGAAGTTGGCTACTTAGAGCAGCAAGCGAACAGCATTTTCAGAGGGGAACCTGCATGACTGGGAGATACATGACCCTCTCCCCCTTAGATCAACGTAGTGCTGCTGGGACTGCAACTTAGCACCATTTTCCCTTTCCTAGACAAGCAGCCAGCTGTCGTTTTGTGGCAACTAAGTATACTCTTTCTCAGTCAGAAGTTTTTGTCCCTCATTATTAAGCTTTCAGCAGACCTTGGGGTTTCCCAAGCGTGCTTTCTAATTCACCATGGTGCCATTTTGGCTCCAAGGTCATCAACACTCACCATTGGAGTTTGCTTTTAGAAGGAGCAAGATAAAAATAGTCTTTGCCATTGTTGTGGGCTTGTATTTGTGAAGGGATCTTAAGTCCAATCCACTGTTTTCCCATGATTATCTTGTTTTCCTTCCACTAGAATAATGGGATTGACCATGTCCAAATACTGAGGGCTGTCTCTGACAAATGGTGCTCCACTGACACACTACCCATGTGCTTGTTTCATTTTTCTGAATCTTGCACAAAAAGTATATATATCCATGTGACTCCATGCTAGTGGTGCAAACCTCAGTACACCCAAGATTCCAATTTGGTCTTCTGTGGTTCCAGAGATGGCCACACTGAGTCCATCATTCAGTGACAGAGCGTGCACAGTGCATGCAGAAAGGCTCTGATTTGCTCCTTGATATCTGTAGTTTTTAAAATGAAGAGAAAATTATCAGACAGGAAGGAAATGATAGAGTCAAAGATGCTGATTAGCGTTTGGAGAACCTCTGCTTCTTCCAGATAGAGTTTGATTGCAACTTACATCAGTGCTGTAGCACCCATCCCTGCTTTAAGCCACCACGCTGGAAAATTTCAGTCACTCCTGTGTAATAAGCCCCCTGGTTTGGCTCAAAAATGACAATTTTTTCCCCTTTAATAAGCATTTATGCTTCAGTACCCTCAAAAATGAAGGTGTCTGCTCACAGCACGTTGGCATTCCTGTTGAAAACACACAGGGATGCCTCCACTTCACTTTGTAGGGTGAATTTAAATTTGCTGCATGCATCAAAAAGGCCACTTGAAAACTACTGGGACAAAACGGTCACCAGTAGTGGATTACTTGACCCTCCCTGTTCCATGTAGCAATTTTCAGAGCTAGAGATCAGCCCATCTATGCAAGTTGGGAATGCATCTGGAAGGTGTCACCATGAAGAAGGTTGCTGCAAATGGGGGGGGGGGGGGAAATCTGCCAAAAAAGGGGAGAAATTGGCAGCCTCATTTATTTTGTTTTTCTCTACTGTGAGGAAGGGCTGCATGGTGCCACCTCTCCTGCTGAGTGTCCTCCTTGGATCTGAAACTCAGCCAGCCAAAAGATGCCTCTTCAGAACTGGGATTGGGTCCATTTCAACAATTATCTCATTATCAGAGGCTGAGCTGCCAGTCCCACCAAAATGGTTGGCCTCTCATGCACACCCTGAACATGCATGCACAACAAAACCCTTTTCACTTGCCATATTGTTGAGCCAAATATCCTATGTCTTGTAACTCTGCCTTTGGTCCCCTTTTTTCAGGTGTAGAAGTTGGCAATTGGCCCTATTGAATTTCTTTCTGTTGCTTTCAGCCCAGCACTCCAGCTGATCAAGACCACTCTTTCTGCCTTCCAGGCTATTCGCTACCCCACACAATATTTGTCATATGCAAATTTGATCAGCATTCCCTCTTCATCCAAGGCATTAATAAAAATGATGAAGAGTGCTGGGCCCAGGACTGAGCCCTGTGGTACCCCTTTCGTTACCTCTCCCCAGTGCAAGAAGGTGCCATTGAGAAACACTCTTTGAGTCCAATTCTGTATCCGTTTGTGGATCCACCTGATAGTTGTCCCATCCTTTTTTACTTTTAGCCAGTTTGCTGATCAGAAAGTCATGGAGTACTCCATTGAAAGTGTTGCTGAAATCAAGATACATTATGTCCATAACATTCTCACAGTCTACAAAGTTGGTTTTCCAATCAAAAAATGAGATCCAATTCATCTGGCAAGACTTGTTCTTGATAAACCAGTGCTGGCTTCTAGTAATTACTCCATTGTTTTCAAGGTGCTTACAGACTGTATCCTTTATTATCCGCTCCAGAACTTCCCCAGGGATTGATGTCAGACTAACCAGTCTGTAGATGCCAGAATCCTCATTTTTGTCCTTTTTGAGGATGACAATATAAGCCATCCTCAATTCATCCAGAACTTCTTCTGTCCTCCACTATTACTCAAAGATAATCGAGTGTGGTTCTGAGAGTTCTGCCAGTTCCTTTATTACTCTAGGATGCAGCTGATCAGTCCCCGGAGATTTGAATTCATTCAGAGGAACTGTAACATGTTCCTTGACCATTTTTTAATTAATCTCAAACTTCAATCCTGACCCTTTGGTTGCTGACTTCATTTCTGCCGGGGTGGCGTGGCGGGGGGGGGGGGGGGGGGTCATAGACCTGCTTTTGGGAAAATATTGAACCAAAGATGAAACTGAGCACTTCAGCTTTTTCTTCTGTCTTCTGTTACCAATTTCCTCTCCGAATTGAGAAGTTGCACTACAATTTCTTTTCTCTGTCATTTACTGTGATCAAACTTGGAAAAAATGGCTTTTTGCTGTTTTTGGCATCTCTTGCTAGCTTCAGCTAATTCTCACCTTTAGTCTTCCAGATGGCATTCCTTCTCCTCTCTGCCACCTCTGTGCTCTTCCTCTGGCCTTCCTTCTGCTTCCTCTGCACATCCTTTTTTGTTTTTAATCCAACTTGAAGGCTTTTTTTGTGGGGCTGCACTGATTTCTTCTGTTCTCTGCTATTTCTTGTTTTTGTTGAAATTGTTTATAATTGTGCTTTTAAAATTTCCCTTTTAAAAGATTTCTACAGAAAGTGGAGGAAGGAACTAGTGGAACTCCTCTTTTCCTCAGGGTCACTTGCCATGGGAACTTACTTATCATTGTTCTGAGTTTATTAAAATCAGCTTTCCTGATCCAGAGGACTTGTATGGCTATTCTTCATTTTCCCTTCCTTTAAAATCAAGAACTCAGGTATGTTGTGGCCACTTTCCCCTAGTGTTCCTGAAACTTCCATTTTCTCCATTAAGTCATCCCTATTCAAACAGCCGACACTCTAGTTCCTTCTTCCACTTTCTGTA